AGAAAGGCCGGCGAAAAAATCAGGAGAGAACTGCAGCGCAGATTCCTAAAGTGGGGCCTTAATGTGGAGCTCTTGAGAAACATCACTATCGTGACAGACCAAGGCGCCAACATTGTTAACGCGCAACAATCGTTCACGTTACTAAGCTGCGGAGCTCACTTGCTGAACACTGTGCTTCGCCATGTGTTCAACTCGGAGTTCATGGCAAATGAAGTGCCAACCCCGAAGGATTTGATTGAAAGAACAAAGGATGTCGTGACCTTCTTGAAACAAGCGGGCCTTCTGAATCGCCTGCAAAAACCGTCACTCAAGACGTTGAAACGGGGTTGAATTCAAAACTAGGCATACTGAAAACGGTCCATGACCAGTACGAGAACATCCGAGCAGTGCTGGACGAACGAGGTAGCCTCCTGACGGAAGGGATCAGCAAAATCGATATGATGCTGCTGATTAATTTTTTTTCAGCCATTCAAGGATGCCAGCGATGCGATGGAAAGGGACACGGTTCCAACATTGCCGTTGTTTCTATTGCACTGGCACAAGCTCAAAAGGCACTTGAGCGCATCATGCCACCGTGACGATGAGCGCATACGGATCAAGAATCGAGCGGCCGATTTCCTTGAAGAAAAGTTGAAAGCGCACGACATTCACATGACTGCTACATTTCTTTGGCCCCAGTTTAGTCAGCTTCGCATTCTTTCTGGCAGTGATCGCTATGAAGTTCTAAAAAAAGTCGTGCATCGATTAAAATCGAATTCGGCTTGCGTGAGCCGAGATTCAGAGCTCCCAGGACCCAAAGAAACGAAGCGAGCAAAGACGACATCGGACGACTTTCTTGAATGGGAAGAGGTGCGTCAATCAACTTCAAGTACTGAAGTATCTGACGAGCTTGAGCGATATTTGAAAGCAGACTTTCCAAACGTCAGTGAGAGAGGACTTCTGCCCTTTTGGAAGTGCCATCAGTGTGAGTTTTCAGGACTATCTCGACTCGGCAAAGCAGCTACTTTGTGTGCCTGCCACGAGTGCTTCCAGTGAGAGGAACTTCGGTGCTGCTGGCTATCTCATCCAGGAAAGGAGATTCTGTCTAAAGCCAGGAACGGTCAATAATCTTCGATTTTCGCACAAGAACCTCTAGGACCACTCACTCTACTTTCTGTTAATCTGAACCCGAGTCTTGGAAAATATTTGGTGTCTGTTTCATAGGAGTACATCTTTATTTTAAAGCCCTGTTTTGTTTGAAAGTGTCCGAGTACCGATCCCCCTTTGCCTCACTGCCGACTCTTCCACCGCCGACTGGTTGAGCGCATTCCTGTGTTGTTATTTAGTTTATAGTGTTAAAAGCGTCTCATTTTCCTCGTCAACGAAGTTTCGCAATGTATTTTAGATGACTTCGCGTGTGGTGATTTGTCTTAGTAACTGCATTACTTGGTATACATTTAAGTGGACTTCTCGTATTCATATTCATTCAATATTACACTTCGTCTCGCGAAAAGGAGGGTTTAGTTTTTTTTTTATAATATAAATTATTTGAATTCAAAAGGCACGTCAAGGAGTGTTTTTTATATGTGTTTTTGTGTGCTTATATTTTACGGTAAACATTTATTGCCTATTGAGTTGTAATGTAAATATATGTGTGACAAAAAAGAATGATGCTGACTTTCAAGTACACTGTAATAAATATGCGCAGTAGTGGCAGGCGAGCCTGCCATTCTGCGTAAACTGAGCTTGATACTGGCGAAAATGAAACGGGCCTGAGCGGGCCTGTCTAAGTCGACAGCGGGCCGCGAACGGGCCAGGGCCAAAGTAACAGCGGCCTGGGCCGGGCCGGGCTCTTATATATCGGCCAGTGCAGACCTCTAACAACAAAAAAAAGTGACAAACAAGCGTGTAATCACGCGAAAACTGGGGGCATCGCAGATATACAGAAGGTATAAAAGCTTTGTTTTACTAAATACATTACCAGTAAAGTATTTGGTTTTATCGTCCGAGCGAAGCGGAACATACAACTGCGAGCATACTGCCCTGAACTACACTTCCAGTGAAGAAGCGCACCATCCAAAGCATCGAGCTCGCTTTTATAGCTTTTGGTGCCTCAAACCTTTGAAAACACAATTATAATAAATTCTACTATATCAATTATTTTTATTAAGTGCGCCTGTGTGTGTGTGTGTGTGTGTGTGTGTGTGTGTGTGTGTGTGTGTGTGTGTGTGTGTTTTTTCTTTTGCGTTAACGTGCCATTTTCTTAGCTATAAAATATTTTTTTTTTCGGAAGTCCGACAACTATAGTCTGTTTCATCATAAGGAAGAACCACATAGTCAAAGATGTAAACAAAAAAAAGGACGCGAACATGCGAATACACATTAAAAATGCAATATAATGGTGCATTCAATATTAGTCGTTAGTTTTTTTAGAGAGCAGCACTTTCGTAGGGCGACATTGTTACCCGTTGTAGATTATAAAAAGTACCGTACAACTGTTAGCTCGGGGTCTTTAACGTACATTACGCAGTATATGTGATGCACGATCGCACTACGGTAGGATGCAGATGGGCGACTGAACCCAGGGTCCCTGATAAAATCGCCTTGATAAAAGCGTTTTTCACAAGCACCGCCAGCCGTTGTTGTGGAAACGCGCAAGACACGTGCCATGAGCGGGTGCTACACCGCCATTCGCTTTCAAGGGCCAGTCATTTTAGTGCTGCGCCGCCATTTGCTCCAAGTGCCGCTCGAGAGACGGTCCTCGAGTACTGGCATACATGAGGTTACTTGAAAGACCAACGCAAACACATCGTGGGTCGTTGCGAGAGGCGGACCGAAGGTAGTGAGGGCGGCGAAGGGGGAGGGGGGCGTATCTTTTCAAGTACGAGTTTCATAATTGAGGTAATTTAATAACGTTGATCGCTTTGGCCCACGTGCTATGCCATCAAGTTCTGCGAAGAAAAGATTGAAAGAAAACCTCGCTTTTAACTTTGAAATCACGCGATGACAAAGAATGCCGCGTGGGTCCCTCTACTTCCAGTAAGCTTGTGTAGAGTGAAGAAAGAGATAGTCTTACGGAATATTATTCACAAGATTAAAAGTCAGAAAAATGGATAAAATGGACCTTGTAGTTATGTGCAAATAAAGGCAAAGCTTTCTTTTGTTATTTTCTTCGTTTCTTCTTCCTTTCTTGTGCATTAACCACTTGCAGTATGCCTTTCTCATGGGAGATGGCTGTAGTTTGCATTTTCCGCTGTCTCTTTCGTTGCTCTCTTCCTAATGTCCCCCGATCTTTCAGTCTGCCGTCGAGGGGGCAATGTGTCGGTATTTTTTTTTTCATGTAAATAATATTCCACCCCCCCTCAAATAAAAACAAAAAACAAAATACGAAATGAAAGACAAGCTCTGGTGCTTTGCGTTATATCGGAGATATTACGTGTTTTTATTTTTTTAGAAGCTGAGTTTTCTTTGAAAATAAAGCATCCTTCCAAATAGAAAACGCGCCGTAGACACATCAGACTGCTTACGCGTAGGAATGCGAAAGCACTGTAGTCCGGCGGTGACATCACGCTCCGCACTGTGCAGGTGTGTGCCCCTTCCGGCTTCACAGCTTCCGTGCCGATGCATCTGCGTTGGCTTTTCGTTGCGTTTTATTTCTGAAGCGAGTCCACTTTGACCTTGAGCGGTGCGTGCTTGAGGACGTCTTTTTATGGCCATCTTTCGGGCACAAGGCCGAATGCTTTTTTCGTAATAGAACATATAAGTCTTTCAACACAAAAAACATTTTTAAGCGCAATGTGGATCGGTGGCCGATTGAACTCGGAGCACGTGGAACCAATACTCTCGCTGCAGAATCAAGAGGCCCTGCCCCACCCCTGCCCGTTTCGATGTCGATGGGGATCGTACCGGTGTGCGGTCGTGTGTCACTATCGGCTGGTGCACGTTAAAAACCCAAAAATAACGGATGTACTGCACTAGCTAAATTTATAATCTAAGGCTGAGACACCAAACCCCCACTGCGGCTAAATCCCGTATGTATAAATTTACACACAACATTATTATTCCTATTGTTTTTCAGCGCGAACTGGCATAAATAAGGAACGAGACTAAGATATTATAGGAGCAGTAGATGATAATATCAAGTGAATTCCCCATCAAAATTGCTCGTCCTTACTAAAAATATAATTAACAGAAAACGTGGCGACAATAATTAATACACGTTTGGTAACATCGCTTCTTTCGCTAACCTCTTACGCCAGCACACGAATCCCTCTGCACTCACCCTGACCACCATTAAAGCACTGATTAGATAAATATATACTCCATAAAATCCGGACTAATATGGCCATCCAAATAGTGTACTAGATTACAAATAAGTTTAACTGATTCACACTCATCGCGCCTAACCTTTAACCGAGCAAGTAAACGCATCTGCCAAAGCAAGGTTTGAAAAAAAAAATATAAAAAAATAATAAACGCAAAGTGAACAGCTATTTTTGTAGAAATCTTATACTATATTTTGAAAATGGTGGTTTTGCTAGATGTATAGATTACGTGACTAAAGCTTTTATTCGTATCTTTATTCTGCAACGAACAGTGAACAATTATTATGCTCCTGTTTTATAGCGCCATCGGGACTTAAGATAATCCGGTCATTTGCCTTGATGCTGATGATAATACGTATATATTTGCTGAAGAAAGCGATAAATGTAGGACAATAAATAAATTACGTACAGCCTTTCTTTAATTTCCAATATTACGTGAAGCTTGCGGGCAACCTAACGATCCACAGCGTTCGACCAGGTTCCCCTCATGGTAAAGCGTCTCTCGTGATTTCTACCGAGAGGTGGCGAAGCGTAATCTGCCGCGCAAGCGGCTTTCCGCCGCTGATAAAGGAGGGCACAGAAATATGCACATGTTTTGAACTAGTGCTTTGTGTTGTTCTCTTAGGCAAGTAGCAGCAAGTAAAAGACTACAACCTCCAAAAATACTTTTTTGCTGCATAATCTTTAAGTACATACCATTTTCCCGGAAGTCTCGCGGTATAAATCCGCCGCTGCAGTGAGAATTTCTTTTCGGAAAGTTTCCCCATTTGTACAATTCCGCACTTGAAAGGTATTCCGGAATTTTTCCTCAAAAGAGGGTCTTCAGCAAATGTACCTCCGACCACGTAAAGCGGCTGTTTATCTAAGAAGAGCTGAAGAATATGCATGAATTATTATATATTGTGTGCACTATGCTTAAAAGTCATAGGAATGAATGAATTAATTTCAGGTAATAGGTGTAAAAAAGTAAATAAACATGAAACAAGGATACCAAAAAGCTGCTGAAGATTAAACAGTTGCCTTACTTGAGACTGGACTATATTTTGAAGGTCGCGGTTTTAAGAAATTGTTCTAGCATTTTTCAGGTCATAAAAGGTTTTTTGTTTCCTTGGCTCCTCTAAAATTGTGAACTTTAGATGCCCGACCTCAATTGTAGTTTTAAGCAGCAATGGGTACCATTACAAATCAGAGTATATAAATTAAGTATTTAAAATGCATTGTCTTGTATCTCGCTTTCAATCAGATATTCAGAACCGTATTTTTTAACTGTATTTAAATAGTGTCGCCTCGTCGTCTTGTATACTTAAAATTGAAAGAATAAAACACAGAGGACAAGCACAAGACAGTGCCTGTCCTGTGCTTGTCCTCTGTGTTTTATTCTTTCAATTTTAAGTATTCATGTTCAACCCGCTCGGCCTTCACCAGTTGTCGTCTTGTCTTTTGTGTTATTTATTCTTGGCTCGGGGTTCAGAGTCTACAAATTTCATTATTGTATCTAAAATACTGTTTAAATGCAATTTCGGCCGCAGTTCTTCTCAGCAAAATGCAATTTTTGTTACTCTTCGGGATGAAATCCATATGCAGAGCATGAAATTTGATGCTCTAATTGCGGACAATAAATACCGATAATGAAATGAACTAGAGATTACTGCGATCGGTATAATTATTGGGTTTCTGACTAAGTTTTTCTTTTTTTAATATTACAAACGCATCTAATTTGAAATTAAACTATACCACAATTCAATATATTTCTGTCTTTGTTTTCAGGCATTGATTTAGAGATGATATCGTCAATAGTAGGCATTATTAAGTTATATACACCAGTGTATGTATTTATGCTCCACTTTATTCCAACAAAAGCTGTAAAATAATTTAGAGCGATGTTTAACCAAACAACGCAGTGTCAAAAAAAAAAGTAGCGCGCAATCTTTCCCCGTGCCAGCAGACACAGGTGTGCGCGAGCACAGGCAACGAAATTGACGCCGTAATCCGCCATTCACGGTTAAGCCCCGAAGTACACTTCGCGCTTTCCACGCCCTTCGAAGAAAATGAGAATAAAAACAGGCATTTTATCTACAGAGGGGCCTCGTTTAAAAGGTAAGCGATTAATTTCTTCAATTCCGCAAATCCTTCATAAATCTATTATCAGAATCCGCAGACGAAAATGGCCCTTCTCAGCGCTCCAGATCGAGTTTTTGCTAGGGTCGACAATGTGAGTAAAATAAAATTCATCCACAGTTCATCTTTGGTTTTTTTTTTTTTTTACACTTTTATGGTACCCCTAGTTATTTATTATTAAGAATAATCACCCAACGACTTTGTAATAAAAATAAGCACCTATACGGTCTGATAACTTATCATTGTTTTCCTGGATCAAATGAACGATTTATAAAATTGTATAGTGATATGTTAGCTTTTTGTTATCGCCATTTAACACTCGTTCCATGATCTTTCTTCTGGATGTCCTTTGGATTTTTTTTAGCTTAAAAATTGTCATTTTATGCTTTATTGTGTTATACCCTGAAACGGGTCCTCAAGGTAAATATATGAAGTGAAATTAACTAAAATATTTGGTCAACCAAGCATGTAGCTTTCACTGGTGAAGATGAAAAGCCTTTCAATATTGAAAAAACTTTTTTGCGTTCGCTGAATACTACATGGAATGACTCCCTAACGTTAATAACCGAATAAAATTGCCTTAAGTTCCTTTTTTTAAGAAATGGCGCTCGGCAAATTAATTCGAAAAATATGAGCATCGTCCATTCCTTCAACTTGGAGCCACAACAAGCGGCCGCGTGGCCTGGTGCCTATCCTAACCGCCGAATTCAGAAACCTCACTCAAACTACACTCAAACTCAAGGGCCCCTCCACTTCCTCGAGGAAGGCGCGAGGGCCGGCACTGACCAATCGCGACGGCGGATCCGTCCTCGCGATTGGCCAGCGCCGGCCCTCGCGCCTTGCTCGAGGAAGTGGAGGGGCCCTTGAGTTTGAGTGTAGTTTGAGTGAGGTTTCTGAATTCGGCGGTAAGTCGCTATAGACACGCGCTTCGGTCGGAAAAGTGGAAAAAACTTGTTGAGCTCCAGGCATTGTTAGAGTTCGCCAATTCTCATCACCACAGTGGATGGACAGGAGCCACTACCCGAGTGTCCGCCGAGGTATTGATTACTACGAGCTGAAGTCGAGTGCTCAGGCAGTTCTCGTGTCCAATTCATGAGCCGCGCTCGAATGTCGTCAGGTACGTGGTTTCGATAAAACAATTACGTCATCAGGCTTTGTGAATGCAAGACTGCTAAAAATAGTTTCCTTTTATCGCAATTTCACCGCGACCAAGAAGCTTCTGAATCAATGGCGGTCCATTTGAGTATATTTGGGCAAGACTACGACCAATAGGCCTCTGTAAAGTCATGAACATTCTAAGACGATATCGTTTCATGGCCCTTTTAAGCACGAATGAAGGACTGTGACGTCAGTTTCGTTGCGTGTGCTCCCGAAAACTGGCGGCTTCTGTCTCGTGGAAAGATCGTGCGCCACTTAATAGGGAGTTTTAGCAGATTGTTTTCAAAGGCCCGCTACCGCTACGAGCGCGCGCTTCAGAGCATGCATCAAAGTGGCAGCGCGAGCTCCCGCTACGATTAGCGTGGCCTGAAAACACGATCTACTAAAACTCTCTATTATGGTTACTAAATTGTATGGTTCAGTACCCTTTAACGCTTGTGGGCAGCCTGGTGATTCACAGCGTTCGTCCAGGTTGCCCACATTTTAAATCGTAACGTGATTTCTGCGGCGAGGTGGCGAAGCTCAATGACCACGCGAGCGGCGCTCCGCCATTCATGAAAGGCTCACACAGAAGTACATTCTAATGGCGCGTTCACACTGGAAGCGGATCCACAAACGCGAAGCGGATCCGCGTGTTCTCACCCGCAAAGCGGCAAAGATCGAGCGGTTGGAGCGCGTTTTTGCCAATGGCTTCGAGACCAAGTTCTCCCAACCGCTTTCACAAACCGTAAAGCATCAACCAATCATAACGCGACGCTGATGTGACGTCAGTGACTTTCGAAACAAGATGGCACCTGTCGCTAGTGAGGCGTCCAAGGCGCTGTAATCCTAGCGCTACAGCGGACTAATCAACGGAGAAACGCCGGTGTCAACATCCGTCACTTGAATCCGCCGCTAAAAGAATTGACTCGTAATTTTACCGGGCTTCGCACCGGTGATTTTGTTCGAGTAAGAGGTAGTTTATTATTCCGGGTGCCACCGCCCGAAGCTCGCTGCCTTGTTAGTCTCTGCCCGTAGAACGTTGAACCCGCCCCTGATTGACCGAAATGTCAGCTTTTCTACCCACTAAGAAAGTCGCGTGAACTTTTGAAAGCTTTCGACACCGTGCATGACCAAAACGAAGGCCGATAGAGACGTCGTGAGCCTGATTGCGTAGCCAACGCACTACCGCTGAGCGGGCAGGGTACCTGCGCTAGCTCGACCTGTAACGGTTACTACTAACAAAAGAAAATAGAGGAAACATACTCAAGGAATAAAGGGTACGTACCAGACGAGGCAGAGGTAATCTATACGGCGTTTATTTGAACTCAATGTCAAACAAACAGTAGACTCGATCGACGTGCGAATGACGAGAGGAGAGTCCGCCACCAACGAAGCCATGACCGGCTAGCACCGAACTCGTTCCCCCGCACCACGGTTCAGCCCACCGCTCACAACTTCGAAATTGATAAGGGCAAACGCGAGAGGAAAACTGGCCTAGGGGCCATCTATCCGGAAAACACGGTCAGCTATTCACGCAAGAAGGGTCCACTTCGAGAAAAAAAGAAAAAAGGCCGGGGGCATCCTCTTTTGAGTCAGCAAGGCGCGCCTAGCTGGGCTTTGCTTGTAGGCGAAGTCGAGGGAATCACAGGCGAGTTTTTCGGGTCCATGTCTCTTTTTTCGCTGCCTAAACTCGTGATGGGTGCGAACATCCCCAGGAAAAATCTTCAGCGCCAAAATATCAAAATTTTGGCTTTGAATCATAGATTAAAATGTATTTTGGATTGTAAAACAGGGTTGCCAAACGCTAGTCTCAAAAGATCACGCGTGATCGCCGAGAAACCGCCAACCGCCTCTCGGTGTGCCTCATATGAAGGCTCCCTAGTCTGAACAAAGTTGCTCGCGAACCGCGTCCGCAATCTCTTCGCGAACGCGGATCCGCTTCCAGTGTGAATGCGCCATAAGAAATGCCTGCGCGTCCGCTTATCCGCAAAACTCTCAAAGAGTCAATCATCGCGATCTAGGAAATCAGTTCAGCAAATGACGGGGCGAACATCCGTTTAGTCCTAAAAGTGTAGTCTGCGCTGTTGCATTACGCAATGCAAATCGTCATGGTTGCATTGCGTAGTGTCACAGCGCAGACTTAATTGTAAGGTATAAACAAAATGTTCCGCCTTATCATTCGCTCAACTGATTTTCCAGATCGCAAGGATAGGCTCCTTGAGTGTTTTGTGGGTAAGTAGACGCGCATGCATTTCTTAGAGTTAACACTGTGCTTTTGTGGGTCACAGTGAAGGGGATAACATTCAATAAATGGTTAAATGTTGCTGAAATAGTGTGTTCTGTCTGTTTCCAAGGCGGGTAACAGCAAGGGAAATTCTCCACCGGAGGATAATACGTGATTTGCTGCTCGACTGGGAAGATGGCTGCCGACAGTGTTTGTTTATGATTTTAACATAGTCATTTTTACACGTTTAAGTTTGACTGCATTCGCACTGCTTCTGTTTCCGCCTTCCGCCCGACCTTTGTGTTGAAGGGTTTGTTCATCGTTATTTCTCTGAAAGAGGGGCAGTTTGTCACGGTTCCGGCGGAACTCATTCGAAACTTGCGCGTCTCG